CCCCCCCCCCCCACACACACACACACTCCCCGAGCCTGACATGCTGCCTGTCCTTGGAGGGGGCTGGCCAGCTCAGGGTGTGACTCGCTGGCACTCACCTGCAGGCCTGGCCTCCATCATGCAGAGGCTGCTCATCAAGTATGACAACCTCTTTGAAGTCTCCTTCCCCTACTCCATGGGCTGGCATGGTGAGTGGTGTGGCTGAGGGACCCCCACAACCCTTATATCCATGTTTCTGTGCCCTTCCCGGGGCTCATGTGGTGGCTGAACCCCTGACAGGAGCCCCCACGGGCCCCTACCTGGAGGAGGACTGTGGGCACTGGCAGCTCCATGCCCACTACTACCCGCCGCTGCTCCGCTCTGCCACCATCCGCAAGTTCATGGTGGGCTACGAGATGCTGGCGCAGGCACAGCGGGACCTCACTCCCGAGCAGGTGAGCGCAGCTTGGTTGGGGATTGTGGGGAGCCAGGGCATTCTGTACCAGGACCATCCCCAGGACTGGCCACTGGCTCCCCCTCGTGCTATGCTCCTGCAGGCAGCTGAGCGCCTGAGGAGCCTCCCTGAGGTGCACTACAAGCAGAGGTCAAAGGAGATGTCATGATGGGGAGCAGCAGAGTCAGCCCTTAACTGTGATCGGTGAGGCCATGGAGAGGAGTCAGCTGAGGGTGACAACAGCTGAGGCCTGGGAACTCATGTTACTTGTGATCCCTCTGATCTCCCAGCTTCTTCTGAGCCTTGTCAAGACGTGTCCTGGTTTGAGGACTGGTATTTGCCTCTTCAGGTACCTCAGTCCTAATCCTGTGGCATCCTCGTGCAGGCGGTGCTGTTCCTTCTGTCTCCTTCCCCATCTCAGGCTGTGTCTTCTGCCTCTGCAGCGTGCTCCTATGACCACTAAAAAGGCTTACCCTCCTTACCGGTCCAGTCTTACTGGTGAGACTGGGAGTGCTGCCTGCCCTGTGGAGGGACACAGCTCCCTCTGGCCAATAAAACCTGGAAGCAAAGTGTCTCTGTCCTGTGTCATCGTGGCTCTTGGCCCTGGGTGGAAGGTTTGGGGACTCTGGTGGGGGACCCCAGCTGCTTGGGGGGCATAAAGCTGGGGGCTGCAGGGGATGTGCCAGCAACCCCATGGTGGCTTGCTGCTCTCCCTCTCTCTGCGTTGCCTCCTCTTCCTCCCTGGGGGGAGCTCTGATCCTGTCTCAGCATTGCAGGCTCGGCAAGGAGTGGGAAGCAGGGAGGAACTGTTGCTGCCTAAGGCTTAGGCAGCCGCTGGGAAAGAGATGGGGCCCGGCAAGCTCGCTGCATGGAGTCTCATGGCCAGGATGCTCGGCCCTGGAGCTGCTCCTCTTCTCTGCTTGGGGCTACTGGGCTGCAGTCCTCGTCCTGCCTGCTGCAAGTACTGGGGTTGCTGGGATGCAGCAAGGGGCTGGTTCATTGCTAGCCCTGGGGGCTACCAGGAGGTCCAGCTCTGCTCATGGTGCCGCTGCCCCCTTTTTCCCTTTCCTGTGCCCACTTGTGGCCCAGCCAGGGCCCTGGGCTGAGCTGAGGGATGCTGCAACCAGTTCTGTGCTCTTCCCTGCTGCAGCTTCTTCACCCAGAGAAGCCCCAGTGCTGTGCAGAGGTAGGTCCTGGACAGTGATGCCTCACAGTTGATGTAAGGGGATGCCCAGGGCCATTTGCCATCACATCTGCACAAATAGTTTGTCACTAAGAAGCCTTTGTCATAGGTCACTCCTTAATGAGGCCCCTATCCCTGCTAAATCTGTGAATGTACTCCTAGGGACTAGAAATGTCTTGCAGGGAGAGAAATGGTCTCTTCCTACCTACAAGACAACAGTTTTTGGGGAAGGCTGTTCCCCTTTTGCTCCATCTATGCATCTCTTCCCCCATCTCTAACCATGGGGCTAGGGCAGGGAGAAGGGCCTGTCCAGCCCTTCAAGCTCAGAGCCAAGCTGGATGCGGCTCACCTGCATGCAGGCCCCATCCTCCTCCCTGATCACCCCATCCCAGAGCCCACAAGCTATCACACCACCCAGCCTCAGGTTTTTGAGGAGCAGGTGATGGGATTTGGGGTCACCCTGGATCTTGGAGCCATCACTGTACAGAGCATCCCCCCCGCATGGCATGGGGGATGCCCAGCTCAGAGTCTGGCCTCTTGCAAACTGATTTCTTCCCTCCTGGGTCAGGCAGTTTCTGAGCTCTGCAACCATCCCCATTGCAGCCCCCATCCCTTCCCATCACAACAGGTGTCTTCTCACCAACCTCCGAACTTCCCTGCTTGGAAGAGGTTTTTTTTCCCCCAGAGCCCTGAAAAAGCAGCAATGAATTGGCTTAAATGTGGGAATCCAGATTGGGGTAATTAGCCGCTGAACCGGTTGTAACGAAGCTAGTCATCTCCCTCCACGCGCAGTTAGCTCTGATTTAATAGCCCACCGGCTCCCAGCCCGGGCTGCAGCGCCTCGGCCCAGGGCCGTAAATGAAACTCGCAGTAAGTCAAGCGGTATTAAACTTTACAGTCGCCGTCTTTAAAAACGAGACTCTCTCTCTAATAAATCAGAGCAAGTGGGATTGTAAATATCGAGGCAGGATCCATATTGCTTAATTAAACAGCGCCTAATGAACAGCCTGTTTGTTGTGTTGTGATTTAGGATGGAGGCTGGGGAGGCAGCGCGTGCCGAGGAGCACTGGTGCCCATGCCGGGATGCCCTCCCCAGGAGGTAGCTGCTGTTGGGAGTTTAGCTGCTACTAAAATAGCTCAGAGATGGCCTGAGAAATAATTTTTAAATTTTTAAAAATAAAAACTATATTGCACCCTCCAAATCTGAAACATTTAGGGTGGAAGTCAGCAGCAGGTGGAAGAGGAGTGGGAGTTACAGCTGGGTGGGAAAGGTGGACCCTGGCTATGCTGAGCCACCCCCTTCTTCATGACAGATCCACCACCTGTTGCCCTGGTATTTTTGGCTTGTGTGAGGTGGATGGGAAAGGCTGGAAGGGAGTAATGAGCCTTTCCTGTGGCACAGAGAGGTGTTGAGCTGGTGTGAACGTTGCTGCTGGGGATGCAAAGGCATTGCAATTCATAGGAATCATCACTGCCATGCTGTAAAGCCCCCAAAGCCTTTTATATTTTTGTAGTTGCAGTCCAGTTGTGATCAACAAGTGATTTTTGGTGAGGAAATTAAAAATGTTTAGCTGGATGTGGGATGGTGGAGTGGAGGGGCTGCAAGGCACCCACCCAGCCATTGCTCCTGACCTAGGATCATCAAAGGGAAACTGAGGCCCATCAGCCTGTGAAAACTATCCCTGTGATGGTGTCACCCTTGTCCTGAGCCTCTGTCCTCCAGCATCAGGGCAAATATATTGTCTGCAATCCCTGCCCTGAGCTGCTTTGGAAGGGTGAGCAGGACAGGCAATGCAGGGAGCAAAGGGAGCTGAGACAAAGCTCAAGCATGGAATTAATGAATTAAAAATACATTGAGGTCCCATGGAGGCATTTGCTGCCTCTATGGCATGTTACTAGGGCTGTGAGAGATTAGGGAAGGGTCATGGTGCTTCTGCGCTGGGCCAGCACATCCTGCACTCTGTAAGGAGCAAGGGATGATCTCAGTGGGGAATGTAGCAATGTAGACGTGCTGGAGGGGGGATGGTCAGGAATTTAGTCTCATTTTCATTCCATTTTCTGATGCCATTGAAACAAATGGGTCAGTCTACCAAGAGATCTGGTTTCCGCAGAGCTGCTGGGGCTTTGGTTCGACTGAGACAAACCAATGTGCTTGCCCGGGTTGTAGCAGTGCCTCTTTCCATTGTCACCCCTGTCCTGTGTGTTTGGGAGACCCAGAGCATCTGCAGCTCCAACACCGACTCCTTCTATGGCCATGGGTAAGTCCTGTGATGCTACTCCAGGATGCTGCCCTGGTTGCACAGAGACCCTTTGGCATGAGCACTCGGTGATGGAGGGTAACTGCTGGAGGTAGGTTTGTCACCTTTGATTATGTGTCCATGTTCTAGGCAGCTGCAGAGCTGCTGCAGATCCTGAGTCCCCAGTCCTGCCCACCCCTCTTCCTCTCCTTTCTGCCTTCCAGCACAGGTAAGACAATAAATATTGAGCAAAGGAAGTTAATCTGTGACCAGAGTGTTTTAATCAGAAAAAAACGGTATTAGTGCAGGCCTGCTGGCTCCTGCCAAACTGCAGTTTTACTGCCCCTCCTAGTACTGGGTTTATGGCTGTCATTTCATTCCAGTTTTACTGTTGGTTTTGCCCTTATCATTGAGTTTCTCCTTGCCTGCTTCTGCCTGTGACTGAATGGGGCTTTTAGGAATGTAATAAGGAAGAAATTAGTAAATTTTTAGGGAGGAAGAAGGGAAGCAAGAGAGGGAGGAAGAGATGAAGGAGGGAAGGATGATAGGAAGAAATGGAAGGAGGGAGGATAGGGAGGGAAGGAAGACTAAATCTCTCCCGTTTCTATCTAAAAGACACCATCAGGCGCTTAACATGAAAACAATTAAAAATTTTAAACAGATGCTAAACATCCTGGTGCCCTGCAGCAGGCAGATCTGTGCTGTGGGGAGATCTGCTATGCCTGGAGAATGAAAAACAAAACCCAACCCCCTTCTAGATTTTGGCTTAGATGGACACACAGAAGCATGGGAGCAACCTCAGCTTGTCCTGGGCTGCCTGGAGCATCTCCCCTGGACTCGGCAGCTGCCTTGGCAGGGACTTTCCAAAGGGCTGAGACCAGCAGGAAACAATTTTGCAGGTGACTTGCCCATGCCTCAGCCAGCTGGTGTTTTTTCCTCTGCTGATGGTCACTGAGACCCCCCCTGCAAGGCATCTTCAGAGCCCTTGGGAACCATGTTTCGTGGACTGGCTGCTGGTCCCAGGTGGACACAATGAGATGTCTGGATGCTGCCTGCCAGCAGCAGAGAGTGACAGGCTCTGCATGGGCTTTAGGACAGCAACCCCAGGGGTGGAATTTAATTTGTTAAATCATATGAGCCTTGCAAGTAATATAATACTGTCACACCGCAGCATCTATGCAGTCCCTAAGCAGTGGATTCCCTCAGCTCCCCCCAGATTTCCTGCACGCCTGGTGTTAGGGAGGTACCTTGGGGCTTGGCTCTCAGCAATGGGGACCTGCTATTGTATGTGGTTTTGAGCCTCTCTTCCATCCTGGCACCCCATCTTAGGGTTGAGAACCTCAGTTTAGAGCAAGGGGAATCCCAGGATGGTCCAGATTCCTCCTAGATTCACCTCAAACACAACTAGCCGGGAAGGTAGGGAAGCAGACATAGATGGGAGCGCAGGAGGCTGGTCTGAGCTAGGGGCAGCTGACATGCATGACCACAAAAAGGTGTTTATCCACTAGCAGGGGGAATGCTGGGAGAAGGCAGGAACCCTCACAGTGCCCAAGATCAACGTGAAATCCAGCTGGCTCCTGGCATGGATGAGGTTGGGTACCTCGGCTGTGCCTGGGACCCCCCTGCTGCTGGAGCCAGCTGTGAGAGCTCACAGCCATCTGTGCCTGCCCCATAGCCACCAGGAAGGAGGGATCTCCATTTGTCCTGATGTTCCAAAGAAGGAAGCCATAAATTATTGCTAGTTATGTTCAGTGACGCTGAGGAGTCAGTAACAAAGCTCTGGGAGCAGGGAGACATCTCAATGCCACAATGGATCCAGTGTGGAAAGTCATCCCCTGGGGTTCACCTGGGCATGAGGTGACTCCTGGCAGAGGCCGAGCCCTTGGGAGAACAGAGAAGGAGGAGTCTAATTAGATGCTAGTGAGAATATAATTGGTAATTCTCCGGCCTAGCCAGTACCCTCAGCTCCCTTGCCCAGCTCCAAGCCAAACCACCTGCCTCAGCACACCCAGGGCAGTTTAAGCCCTACAGGGTACAGCCAGTGCTGGGATGAGCCAGTTGCTGCTCCCCACACTCAATTGCAATAAAATATCCTCATAAATTATCCCCATGAAACAAAACATGACAGATAAAAGCCAAAAGTGCATTTGCAGCCTGTGTGCTTTTGGTGTTTAATTCCTTGCTTATTTTGCTCACAATTGTCTGTAACTCATGGCAGCTTGTCTTCTCCCTCACGATTACAGGCTTGGGCAGGGAGGCAGCACTCCTGGGCTACCTGTGCTGTCCGTGTGGGGAAGTCGCCGCCCTTCCTTGTGCCTCAGTTTTTCCATCACTCGAATAGAATCAATAACACAGAGGTCAGACCCTGTCCACCTTGGCTGACCAGGCAGTAGGAGTCCCCGTGCCAGCCCTGCAGACGCTCCTGGGCTGTGTGAAGTCCACTGTGACTCCCCCACTGTGATACCCTAGTGGCTTGGACCTGGTTCCATCCCACCCAGTCTTGTGGATGTAAGGAAAACCTTTTCCAGCCCTGGGGCTGGCTGCTGCCCTGAAACAATGCTGCCCAGCAAACCACCAGGTTTGTGCACCCAAACTGCTGGTGCAGTATTTAATTCACCAATAAAAATTTGATTTAATTTTAAAAATTAAAATTTGAATTACGACATGGGCAAGAAACAGAGTAAGAATGAAGCCAGGATGGGTACCTAGGATGTCACCTTGCTTTTTAACCCTTCCTATCCTGTTTTCAGGTTCCCCTGGGGATTGGATTTGCTCAAAAACCATCCAGCTGGTTCCAGCTGCTCCCACCACACTTCAGTAACATCAGGACCCTGTTCCATCACAGCCTGGCAGGCCCATCAGAAGTAGGTGATACATTGGCACAGGAGAAAAGAAATGACCCCCAGCCTCTGTCAGGGTCTAAAATCCCCCC